CACAATAAAAACCCTGCTGATTTGGAATTCGGGGCTCTCAATCCTGATCCGCTGCGTCGGTGACGGTTGAGTGCCCCTGCTCGAGCTTGAATAAATGATCCTCGTGTGTTTACATCGGAATCGGCTCCTTGGTGGTCTTTGGGGACTTCGCGATCTGGGCACAACAGTAGCACTGTTAAACGTGCTTAGATTAAAGCTTCCTGTGCATTTTGACTAAGAGGAGTCTTTCTTCAACTCCGGTATAAATAGAAAGTTGATGTTAAAAATATCAGAACATTCCTTCTCCACAAGAAGACTCAATAAAATTTGGAGTGCCTCAAGAGATCTGTCCTTAGACCTTTCTCATTCTCTTTAGCAATCCATACCTCTGGGTCATCTCTCTTCATTCCGTGACTTTCAAAGCTAACCATACCCTGATGACACCAGGACTATACACATGAGCCTAACCTCTGCTCTGAACACCAATGTTAAATTTCTCAACTCAAGGACTCTAGTAGGATGTCTAAAAGACATCTCAAGTCAACTATGCTGATAATTGTAACTGTTGATTTTTCTCCTTAGACTTTTTCTTCAATAAATGTCAACAGTAAATATTTTTTAACTGCCTACTATACAACAAACAATGCATAAAACACTGGTCACAGCCCTCATGAAGCTTGTACTCTAATGCAGGGAGACAGATAACAAAAACTTCTTCCTACCTACCTACCTGCTTATTGTCAGAAAGCTGCAAACACTAAGAGGACATTAACACCAAGTAAGGGGAAAGCAAGTCCTGAAGGTTAGGAGATACTGGTGGTTATTATTTTATATAGTAGTCAGGTTATCCAAGACCAGAAGGAAGTGAGAAGCAAGGAAGTATGCCATATGGGTATTTTGAAGAAGCATTTTTTAGACAGAGGAAATGGCAAGGGCAAATCCTTAGATTTGGCAGCATGCCTAACATATCTAAAGAGTGAAAGAGAAAGTGTAGGTGAGTAGAATGGGTGAGAAGGAAAGCAGCAGGAGATGAATTCAGAGAGGTAACAGATCAGCTCACTTGAGACTTTACAAGGCATGTGTAAGGACTTTGGCTTCTGTACTATTCACCCAACAATTATCCTTATTTTCTCTTTCTGTCACACAGAAAGTCTCCAGTCTCTTAAATGAAGGCCCCAATTCAAGTTAATTAAAGTTTCTAAATGCCCACTATATTTCTCATGCAAAAGGATACATACTACTGACCTACATTTTCAAAATCAAAACTTACCAGCATGACACATTTGTTTAAATTTATAGCAAATTTTCTTTTTCTCAAACCTAATTAAAACCTTTGAAAGGTAATGTCAGCAAAAAGTAAGTCAATAAGGTAAGACATATGTTGGAGATTTTCAAGGGAGAGACATAAGATGGAGATTTTCTTCTTCATATTACAAGCAAAGCACAGTATTTTGAAACATACAGTATCATGAAAATAAAACAGAACCCCCAGCTTATCTGCTCTTCTATTTCCACTCATCTGGCACAGCTCAACTACCTTGTCAAAATGCTGCTGCAAGATGTTTTTCATCTGCACTCTTTCAGCACTCTCTGTTCCTGAACCAGTGTTCAAACATCGTGAGAGAGTCCCAATTTCTTCCTCAGCATCCTCTCCAAGAAATATCCGTTCATCTAAATTCCCAACAGATAAAACATACTCCTCATAGGCATTATTGATGGCTTTACTACAAGGAAAAAAAATACAGACAACATATACTGTCACTTCAGTTATGTTTCAGTTCATTTAATTATTTCATTTTTATTAAAAGTTCTAATAATATTTTGAAAGTTACATTTCAGTGGGATAACTGTTAATCACAAAAAGCCAAGGATTAAGATGTAAGCTTGCAACATTATGTGCATTCACCACCCAGTAAGTGTAGCTTTCTTTCCCAGGTGTTCTAGGCACCTCTGCAGACCTCAATATTTCCATTCTACATCGTTTCTCACTATAATTCCAAAAGGACTGCTTTGTTTCCAAATGTATAATCCAAAAGCTTGACCAATAAAGCTTTTAAGAAGAGTCAAACAATTTTCACTGAATTTTAAATGTGCTTACAGAAGTTGGCATTTGTTTCCTTTATCTTCCTATAAAACATTCTAAATTTTCAGAGTACAATCAATAAAAAAAAACCCACTAAACTCTGAAATTTTCTAGGTACACAATTTAAAATGTTAAAAACACTTTTATAACATAAGTACTCACAAACTCTCTCCGAAATTCCCAGGTTCTAGAAAGCCAGTAAGATTTTCTTCTTTTCCTTTGAGGAGCTAAAAGAAGAGATCTTTAATTGTCATATGAAATCAAGACTTTGTCCAGAAAATATTTTCATATTATTTCTGTTACTTACAAACCTTTTTTTCATAAAGTTTCCTAATATAAGGTTTCCAAAAATGTTCCTTTATTCCCTTTGCTTCCAAAACTAGGCCATCATGTAAAGAACAGAGTTTCTCAATGACACAAGGTGGGTCAGAGGAAGGTTTAGAATCCTTGGTGTGAAAATCTTCAGATAGGCCTATGATGTATAGAATTACAAAATGGAAATCAGTTGGTACTCGATAAACCACACTGTAATAAACTAAAAATATAAATAATAGAGCCTGTTCAAAATATGATAGCATAAGTACAGAAAGTAGCATATATGAGCCTAATTGAAATGTACTTAAACATACCTCAAAAAATGGAAATAGAGGCAAAACATATCACCACTCAAAAGATTTCAATTATTCAATCATCTGGAGATGGTTAAAAGAGAAAACTAAAAAATTAATTGTAGCATATTGCTCCATGATTTAAAAATTATAAAAATAAAATAGTTTTGCAAACCAGCCTTACATTCAAACAAAAACATTTCAAAAATTATAGTTCAAAGGGAAGGAAAGGAGAGGAAGGGGACGTAAACAGAATTGAGATTTGATATGTACATATACCAACTGCCATCATGAATGTAATCATTACTACAAACATATACTAATAAAAATAAAAATTTTAATAAATTACAGAGTTCAAAGATTATATACTTTGATTTAATTATACTAGATGTATTTAGTTTATTCTTGCCATAGGCTTACCACAAGAGGAAAAAAAAAATAAAGAAAAGGTCAAAAAAATAAAAAGAAGTTAAAAACAAGAGGAAACAACCATACAGAAATATAAAAGGCTGGCTGCAGGTACAGCTCACGGGAGAGCACAGATGTGTGAAGCCCTTGGTTCACTCAAACTACATATACATGAAAAGAAATATAAAAGAGAGCTAAGAAGGAATAAGAGAAAGGACAGGTTGAGTAGCCTTTACCTAAAATGCTTTCAACTAGAAGTGTTTCAGATTTCAGAGCTTTTTAGATTTTGGAGTATCTGCATAGATTTTACTGGATTTGCATTCATAATCCAAAAATCTGAAATCTAAAATTTTTTTAAAAATCTGAGACTTCTGACCTGCACCCATAGCCCTAAATTTGAAACTTTTGAGTATCATATTGACATTCAAAACTTTCAGACTTTGGGTCAGGGATTTAGCTCAGTGGTTCCAGCTCCTGCCTTGCAAGCACAAGGTTCTGAGTTCAATCCCCAGTACCAGAAAAAAAAATTTCAGATTTTGAAAATTTTCAGATTTTGGATTAGGGATGCTCAACCTATACAAGGAACATTAATTTATCAAACCAGAAGCAACTGAAGAAACTAAATCTACTAATATTAAAATCTACCTGAGGAAAAAAAAATCTACCTGGGGCCAGGGACTTAGCTCAGTGGCACTGTGCCTGCCTTGCAAGCACAAGTTCCTGAGTTCAATCCCTGGTACCAAAAAAAAAAAAAATCTACTTGGATAGAAAGACAAGTTTAAATTCTAACTGGTACCATGCCAAAACTGACAATCTTACCAAATACCAGCAGTATTATATATCAGCTCTACAAATATTTTTCAATATTTGTTTCATAAATCATAATTTGGGCACTGAATTTAATACCATTTGTAGAATAATTATTATTTCTATACATCTGTCAATTTAGGAGATCAAAGTTCATTTTAATACTTTCAAAACTATAACTACTCTCTACAGCAAAAAGTTTGGGTTTTTTTGTTTTAAACATGTGTGTCCTATTTATTTCACTTAAGATCATGGTCTCAAGGTCCATCCATATAGCTATAAATAATTTGTCTGAAGCTCAGCAATAAGTTTGAACTGAAGATTTTTTTAATAAATCTTTTCTTGCTTCCTACAGTGTGTGTCATGCACAAAGCTTGCCGATACTAAAAAATACTAGCAGGTTCAATGTCATCTTTGCTACTCTGAGTTTCTAAATCCTTTCTCTATATTTAATTGTATATATATTTCAGATACTTCTAAAGTTGTCATTGAAGACTTTAAACTTTGCTTTTTTGTAAAAAAAAAAAAAAAAAACTATACAGAGTTTGACTGCTCATTATAAATGCCCTCGGTAACTGCGATGATGGAAGCCTTTCAAATACTCATGTCCTCCAATGCTGGAAAGCCTGTATTATATGCAGTTCCCAAGAGTAAACATAATGCAGAAATATGAATTGTCCAAAAATTTTTGATATGTAGGCTTACCTTTAAAGTTAGGGTTCACAAGTTCTTTACGATTGGAACACTGTAGAGCATTTCCATAAACTAAGTCCAAAGCACACAGCAGAAGATGGTAAGAATTGACCAAATCATCACTAATCATAGGAAAATTACCTATAGATTATGAAGAGTTATAGTTAAATTACCATCAACTTTACAATCTTTTAAAAATACTGTAATTTCTTCCTTTAATTATAATCACATTATACAACATTGTACAATGTTGACTCAAGAGTTACATTAAGTGTTTTGGCAAATATACACTTTGAAACATTAGTTTTATATTTTAATAAACTCCTATGAGTTTAATGAAAACTGAAACCTTAATAAAAATGGTATGCATTCATTCGATATTTATTAAATACTTAGTAGCTGACTAAAATTTTATCACTGATCTTTTCTTTGAAAATTCTGAACACAAAAAAAGATTTATAAATTATCTCAAAATATACAAAATAGTTTTACACAAACTTTTAGTAAACTACTAATCAGAGATACTATCACAAGTTCATGAAAATACATGTACAATGATATAAATTAAAATTATTAAATTAAAAAAGAAAATTAGTAGAAATACTCAGAAGGGGACAGCTGAATTAAAATTCATGTAATTATTTTTCTCATATACAAACTTAGACCAGAACCCTTAATCACAGCCATAACAGTAACATTTCTAATACTTTTTTACATAGTAATACTATATAAGCTCATATAAATTAATACATAGTAATACTATATAAGCTCATATAAATAATATAAATTAATAATTATATTATTAACTAGCGATACGTAAATTCTAGGGCTGCTATTCCAAGGATAATTGTCAATGCCTGGTAACAAAGATATAACAAACCTAAACCTAAACCTAAACCTACAAAAGCATTTCCTTTCTGCAGTGTTGTTTGAAGCCCTGACACTAAAAGCAGTTTTTACATAGTTAGTTTTACTAATTTTAGAAATTAAGAAGTATTTCTAAGGTATTTTAATAACTTCAGGACTGTCCCTTTTTAATTAAAATACTGCACATATATGCTTCATGTTGATTTTATATTCTTATATCAGATAAATGCAATTTAAATAGGTAACATAAAGTTGAAAAATTATTCAAAACTTGGCATTTCATACTTACTGCCTTACCCAAATGCATGCATGTACACACACCCAAAATCTTCCCCCCAACCCAAACACACAACCAACTCCTTCGACTTTGTTTCAAGGTCTTCCCCCCGTTTCTTCCAAACAGTTACCACTTACCTCAGCTTATCAGGTATGCAATTCTTTTTTTACTTTTTTGTATAGATAGAAATATTCAACAAATCAACTTTAATGAATTAAATAGAAAAAAAATCCTTCTGCTGCCAGAAAAGCAAATGGTTATTAATAGATTAAATTTTACACTATATAAACAAACTAACTTGTGTGGTTCTACTCTAAAGAGGTTTAGTATTAAAATACACTCAATTCCTCATATATAAAATAGGAAGTAGTACCCACCAGTTTCAAGCTACAAAGCCCATCACACTGACAAGCCTAAACTTGTCTCTGATGTGTACTTGCCATAGAAAAATCAGCAGCACTGTAACTTCAAACAAAAAACTGAAATGCTCCTGAAGATCAAGTTCTAATTTAAATTCCAGGACAGTCTCAGTATGGTTTACTTTCTATTTCAAGTCCTGACCTTATAAATCTCACTCTGTGAGGTATTTTATCTTTCAATCACCAAATATAACAGGTAAAAAGGAAGCTGTTTAACCTCTAGACTTGGCTTATTAGGAATGAGAAGATTTGACATTTCATGTAAAACAGGAAGTGGTCCCTATTGGTCTTCAGGCCACAAAACCCTTCATTTGACAAGCCCAAACTTGTCATTAAAGTCAACAAAGGTATCAGGCAGAGTGAGTTTATTTATTAGGAATAAGATATTCTGGGATGTTCGTATGCTGCAGATATGAGAAAGGTGGCTAGAAAGAGTCTACCTTCCTCCAAAATAAATCAAGAAAAGAATAAAACCAATTAAGCTACTCAAAAAAAGATCCTGATGCGTCATAAAAGATCATAATGGAGATGTGTTCCAGCTACTTGTGAGGCTGAGGAAGATCATAAGTTTGAGGCCTGCCTGAGTAATACAGTGAGATCCCCACTCAAAAATTTTTTTTAAATAAAGGTTTTTCAGATCAACTATAGACTGCATAAGATAGCATTCAAAACACTGAGCTAGGGCCGGGGATTTAGCTCAGCAGTTCCACCGCCTGCCTCGAAAGCACAAGGTCCAGAGTTCAATCCCCGGTACCAAAAAACAAAACAAAACAAAAAAAACCACTGAGTTAATTTCCAAGGTAGAAAATATGCCACCCCAGTTGATCAAGTAAAAACAAAATAAGAACTGTAAAATTATTTTTAAATAGTTTAATATATTATCAAATAAAATTATTCCTAAACATATACAAAATAAAAAAATAAAATCCTAGAAGTTAAACATACCTGCCAAACGCAATCACGAGAAGATTACTATTATATATAATACCAGCCACACAAGCTAAAACTTGTTGCAGCTGCTATAAAAATGGTTTATGTACTCCCAGACCTTTCTTTGTTTCATGCTCCTGATCATGCCACTTTGTCTTCACTAAAGAAAGCTGCCTGTGTGATGAAAAGCATAACCGAACAGCTCATGTGTGACAGAGGAAAAGTTTTTCTTTTCAATCAAGGACAGAGCTCAGAAAAGAAGGATGACTCTCTACTAGTTAGAGAGAACAGCAGTAATCAATCAAATTACACCTGGAGACCAGTGGCCTGACACATTCTTGCCAGAGGCCTTCACGTTCAGCAGGAAACCAGGAGCCAGGAGTCTGAGTTCACATCCTACCTCAAGTCCTGATACATTCATTCAGGTGTCAGGTGCCTAATCTTTAAAATTAATAAATTGAGATTAAATCTCATAATGAGAGTCTCCTATACAGTAATGTCCATGGTTTTGCCTTCTGTGGTTTTGGTTACATTCAGTCAACTGTGGTCTGAAAATGTTAAATGGAAAACTCCAGAAATAAACAATTTATAGGGTTTAAATTGTGTGCTGTTTTGAGTAGTATGATGAAATCTCTCATTGTTCTGCTCTGTGCAGCTCTGCCCTACCCAGGACAGGACTCATCCTTGATCCAGTGTTTCAACACTGACTATACTACCCCTCCATCCATCAGTCACTGAGCAGACTTCCTGGTCATCAGATCTATTGTCATAATATAACCATACTTTTGTTCAAATACCTGTTACTTTTCTTAATAATGAATCCCAAGGGCAAAAATAATGATGCCAACAACTTGGTTATGCCAAAGAGAAGCCCTAAAGTGCTTTCTTTAAGCAAAAGGCAAAAATTCTTGACTTCATAAGGAAAAAAATGCTGAGGTTGCTAAGATCTAAACTACAAGAAAATATTTTAAAAGACTTTCATTATAGTAATTCTAATTGTTCTGTTTTACATATTACACATTATTTTTGTTAATCTCTTATTGTACCTAATTTATAAATTAAACTTTGTGTAAGTATGTATAAGAACAAACACAGCATACATGGAATTCAGAAATATCCCTGGTTTCAGGCATCCACTGAGGATCTTGGACTGTATCCCCCACTGATAAGGGGACAATACCATATTTGCAGACTCCATTTCTAGATATTTTATTTTTAACTTTGTGTTTTATTGGGCTATCTTAGTGGCAAAGGTATGCCACATATACTATAGGTAAAAAGCTATGTAACTAATACAACTGTTCTTTCTCCTTCAGATTACTAAGAATTCTTTTTATATAGAAATACAGAGACCCAAAAAATGGAGATGTATTTAAGCAAATGTAGATCTTAGGTTAAATGCAATAAGAAAGGGAGAGAAAACAAGCAGTGTCTAAGGCATTTGATTAAGTATATTTATCGGAATAAGACGCAAAAAGTAATCTGAACTACTCTGGGGATGATTAGTCCCCACTTAGTTGAACAAGACATGTATCATGAAAAATACATCTCAAAATACAAGCATAAACATAATTTAAGGTGTTTTTAGTTCATCATTCGGGCCTGGGATTTAGCTCAGTGGTTTCGCCGCCTGCTGCGCAAGCACAAGGACCTGAGTTCGATCCCTGGTACAAAAAAAAAAAAAAAAGAAAAGCTTTGGGTGAAAAAGATGCTAAGAACAAAAAGATTCTCCATTTACTAAGAAAGATTTGGACATTGTAAAGAAATTCAAAAGACCCTTTTACAAAGAGGTGACACTTTAAAAAGAATCTAGGGGCCAGGGGTTTAGCTCAGTGGTTCTGGCGCCTGCCTCGCAAGTGCAAGGTCCCGAGTTCGATCCCTGGTACAAAAAAATATAAATAAATAAATAAATAAATAGAATCTAGGATTAAAAACCCCATGAGATCCTTATTTACACTTTCAGTTTCTCACACCAGAGAAACTATTTGGTATTTACACATGTGTGTCCTATTTATTTCACTTAAGAGTATGGCCTCAATGTGAAGGATCAAAATGTATAATAGATAGTGAAATAGGAAGAAAAGGTCCAAAGGGGAAGGGGAAGTGGGAGGGGTAGGGAAAAGGAAAGAAGGGAAAGGAATAAATATGAGAAAAGAAAAAAAAGGAAACAAAGTCTTTGTAAATAGGGAGGGGTAGAGGGGTTGAAGGGAGGGCAGGGGAATAGGGAAAAAAATAAGAGCCAAGATACATCATGTAAAGGTACAAATTCCCAATGATGAATGTCATCATATTGTATACCTAAAATGTACCAATAAACTTAATGAATTTTTAAAAATGAACAAACAAAAACCTTGAGAAAATTCCCAGTGAGAATTTCTTTTTGATAATATTACAGGTTGATAAAATTAGTACCTGAAAATGTAAATTAATTAATATCTAAATATTACCCTTTTCTTACCTTTTGCATATATAAAAAGCACCCAACAAAAATGGAAGATTTCAGACACAGTACAGGGCTGTCGCCTTTGGGAGAGGAAAAGACAGTCATGAGACAATAAAAAAAGTAGACACCCCAAATGATAACAAATTAAGTAGGAAACAAAATCCACAGTTAGAGGCATAATACCAGATTCAGCTTCACAAGGAAAATGCCCATGGTGTGCCTCTGCCTCAGACAAATATTGGAAGGTAACAGCTGTAAGCCAGGGAAAAAATTCATCACAGAAAGAAAAAAATTCTGAAGAATTCTTAAAGTTTTGAGGCCAAGATACCAAAAGTGGAAAATAAAATGAAAAACAATAGTTCTTCTGATGACATCAGCTGTCAGGTATTTCCCCATTTCCCCCTCTATCATAGCTGGTGAACTTTAACCCTCTCTTCCTAAAATATTGCAGAATATGTAAAATCAAAAAAGGCCATTTCATATCAGTTCTGGCCTTCCTATAATCCCTTTTACTTCTACTCATTAAAAGTACCTGCTGTATTTTTCCAACTTTTCTGCTAAAGGAAGTTTTAGACCTGCTTTAACCTTGGCTTTTCTTACCAAAACCTCTGCCAGTGTTTACACAAGGCATCTGTAGTCTCCATGTTCCAACAGCCTCATTCTAATAAGGTGCCAAGAAGAGCAAAACACTCTGGAGCAGATCAGGGGATTGAGCTTAGTTCCAGCACAATCATTAGCAAGTTTACTTGCTCCCCCTGGGCTTTACTCTTTCATCCATCAAAAGATTATTCTCCTTAATTCACCAGTACTTAATTGACTGTACTTAATTTAGTACATACTCTATAAAGCAGCCTTCCTACCATACAGCACAAGACAGACTGTTTTTTGTTTTTTGGGGGGGTTTTTTGGGTACCGGGGATCGAACTTGTGACCTTGCGCTTGCGAGGCAGGCACCGGAACCACTGAGCTAAATCCCTGGCCCTAGACAGACTATTTTTAATTTTGATTGTGTACCAAGAGAAAATTCAAATGTTTTAGCTCGATATTTACGCCACTCTAAATTCTGGCTTTATAAATTGAGAACTCTAGAGGAAACCTAACTAACCTTTTTGGTCCAAAATTTCCGCTTGCTTACGTCTCTATTCTTATGATATCCTCTACACAGGAAGCTCTATTATTTCCTAGCCAGGTAAAATGGCTCACACCTATAACCCCAGCACTCCAAGAGGCTGAAGCAGGAAAATCCAGTTTGAGCCAGCCAGGGCAATTTAGTAAGTTACCCAGACCCTGTCTCAAAATAAAAAATGAAACAGGCTGTGGTTCAATCCCCAATACCAGGGGAGAAAAAAAGAATGCTCTAACATTTCCAATTTTCCCTGTCAAAATCGTGCCCATCCTTTAAGCCCTATTTCTACTTATTCCATGTAACCATAACCCAGCTTACCCAGATTTCTTTTTTGTCTCAGGAACCCTATTTCTATATATTTGCATTCGTGTGCCTTTTATAATGTGCTGCACTGTACAAACTTCATATCTGTCTTTTTTCCCTGTCTAAATGATAAATCCTCAAAAGACAGAAACTGTGAAGGTTTTGTTTTTGAATACTGGTATCCCACACAGTACCTAACCAAGTACTTCCTGTGGATAAGTGCTCAAAAAATATTCAGTGACAAATTTTCAAATTTTAGTGTGAGCTGCATTATACAGTGGTAGAGCCCATGGGTTCTACAGCCTGACTGCCTTAGGTTCAATAATAATTGCACAGTCATCAGTTGTGTGGATTTGGCCAAATTACTTACTCTTCTAGGGGCTTATTTTCCTAGCTCTAACAACAGTACTAGTCTTATAAGGTTGTCATAAAGATTAACTAAAGTAGGGCTTAGGATTTAGCTCACTGGTTCTGCCACCTGCCTCACAACTGCAAGGACCGGAGTTCAATCCCCGGTACCAAAAAAAAAAAATTAACTAAATTCAATGCTTCAATCTTACAAGACCCTTGCCCCAAAATAAAGTCTCAGTAAATGGTATATATTATGAGTGTTTTTGTTTCATTTTTTGATTTGCTCTTTTTTTTTTCCCCCTTGAGACAGGATCTCACTGTGTAGTTTAGGCTGGCCTTGAACTATGTACCTTGAACTATGTATTTACATTATACATATATATATATATATATAATGTAAATATATATATTATGTAAATATATATATAATTTCATAAATTTATTTTGCACTGCTACCAATAGGATTGAGGCCCTTACACATACTAGGCAAGTGCTCTAGCACTAAGCCACATCTGTAGACCTAAAATTAGGTATATTTTATACCTAAATAAATCTGAAAACAGTACACTATAAAATTGTTTTCTAGATACTCCAAGAGGGAAAAATATTAGTACTGGGGATTTTAACTCAGGGCTTCAGGCACGCTAGGCAAGTACTCTGCTACTGGGCTACCTCTCCAGCACTCCCTCCATCTGTGGTTTTATTTTTGGTCTGGGTTCGGGTTTCCAGGCTGGCCTCCAGCTGTAATCCTTCTGACTCAGCCTCCAGAATCGCTGGAATTGCAGGCAAGTATCAACTCAGAAAAAAAAAAGAGACTGAGATTTTCTGTCTTTCCATAAATGATCTCAGTGGCCTTGCAGAGACTCAAAAAAGTTTGCATCCAAATTTTAGAATATCTAATTGTAAGCAGTCAGTTCCCCAAAACTTCAACAAAACTAGACTACTGGGTCCATGTCTGTGGTTAACTATAAATTGCTGTAACTGGTTTGTTTTAATTGTTAACTTTACCATTATTGTAAGCATCCTTCACAACCTGACAAACTTTTACAGCTAAAGAAAAGCAAATATTCATTCTAGTTAAAGAATTACAACTCCTTTACCTGTACTTTTCTTTTCTTTTTTTCTGGTACTGGGGATCGAACTCAGGACCTTGCGCTTGGCAAGCAGACCCAGCGCCACTGAGCTACATCCCTGCCCCTGCCTGTACTTTTCTCATCAATACTTTTCACATTCTATTTTAAGAACAGATCTCCATTTTATGAAAAAAAAATTTTAAAAACTTGCACATTAAAGGATAATTTGTATCCTGTAACTGCTCTGAGCTATAAAGAAAGAAAACAGTGAGCCAGAGGAAGTTACCGACTTTGCAGACCAGATCAGAAGGTGCAAACTAATAATCGTTTCAGTTCCCTATCCTCTCCCAATCTTGTTTCTCTATTCTTCGTTATAAATATATGTAGAGAAGTCATTACAGGGAGATGACTTATTACTCTGTTTGCCATAAGAACCAAATAATAGAAATAACCCAAAATTTAATGATCAATATGTGGTCTCTACTCAGGATAGCAGACAGTGAAAATCGCTACAGTCTAACTTTGTGCAGTCTGAATTCCTGTCACTTAAATAAAAAGAGAAAGTTTATATAAACAAAGACCTCATACATTCTGCAATATAAAAGAAGACACAGCCTTTATGGCTAACAAATAATGAAAAGCAAAAAATAAAAATAAAAAAAGAAAATACTTGGGGAAAAAATTATTTTGGAAATTATATTGCTTTTTTAAGATTAACAAAATAAGCTGGGGAATCAAAACTGTAGCACAGATAGACAAATGTTTATTCCCAAATAACAATTATAAAAACATACCTCTGTTTTCTTCCTCTTTGTTGACGAGGTTGTTCCTCTTGGGGATATTTAAAAATATCTTGAAAAATGGGTTCATATTTCTTAAAAATTACAGCAGAAACAGTGAAGTTTCTTTCCAACCTCTCAGTACGCTCTCTGAAATGGGGGGGTAGGTTTGCCATGTCTTCCCACTTCTTCATTTTGTTAAAAAATTCAATCAAGCTGATATTAAAGATAAAAAAGATGTTCTCATAACATAAGTATACTAATATAAACAACTAAAAGTAAATCAAAAGTATCTCATTTAATGGTATTATTTTCAAACAGTAATGTAAAATACCAACACATGTATTTGACTAGTTTAAATAATCTCAAGAGATTGGTTTATTACTCTGGTCCTCTTTCTCTTCTTTTCTTCTCTCTCTCTCTTTCCTTCTTCCTTCCTTCGTTTCTTCCTTCGTTTCTTTCTTTTGTGACTACCTCAGGTTCATTTTTTTAAATTATGAAATATGTTTAAATACAAACTAAAATTAATAGGAGTAGCATAACACATGTACCCAACTTCCAGGATTAGCAAATATTAATATATTCACTAAATATTGCCATATTTGGCCTTGGATTTAAGACCTAAAAACACAACAGAAACAGCCAAAATTCCCTATGTACTCCTTCCTAATCCCATTCACCACTCTTTCCCCAAAATAATCACCATTCTGAAGTTAGATTTCTTCCCATCCATCTTTAATACCTGTACACATACACATGTATCTATAAACAATAAGCAGTATCTTCTGCATTTGTTTTTACATTTTATACAAAAGGTATCTCAAGAAGCATTCTGCAACTTGCTTTCTATGTGTTTGAAATTCGTAAATTTTGATACATAATTCATTCATTTAATTGCTAAACATTCCCTCATATGAACATACCATTACATTTTACATTCACTTCCAGGCCAATGGAATTTTAGGTTATTTTTAATGTTTCACAACAAAAAATTCTGTAATAAACACATCCTCATGTGCGCAGGAGTTTCTTTATGGACTATCCCAAGAAGTAGAGTCAGAGAATGTATGCTTTCTATTTTATCATACATTCTATGTGTATTAAGACTTTAGTCTCGGCCCAGGGATTTAGCTCAGTGGTTCTGGTGCCTGCCTCGCAAGCACATGGACCCAAGTTCAATCCCTGGTACCAAAAAAAAAAAAAAAAAGATTTTAGTCTTGTGCATATAACTGTAACCATAGTACCATATCATTAATATTTTATTTACCTTTCAATCCAGAGTGTTTCTTAAAGTTTCTCAAGATCCTTTTTTAGATTTCTCTCAATATTATACTATGAGTATAACCTTTAAAAGTAAATTCTTCCAAAAAAAAGAAACAATACAAAACAAAAAAGGTAAATTCTTCCACACAGGTGCCTATACATAAAATACAAATATTTTCACCAAATTAGTAAAACATCATGGAAAACCATGACCTGGCTCCTAAATACAACACTCCATAGGTATAACTACTCAGAAAATAATGAACACAGACATTTCTTGTTGTCACTATGATTTATGAGCTTTTAAAATGACCAACTCTACTTTTCAGGCTGTAAGATAGTTACCTCTGCTGTGAACATCGTAGGATTCTAGTTAGGGATACATAGTTTCCTTCAACAGTCCCTTTGCTTACAGTTGGAACAGATTTTCTGCAAGCCACATATAAGGCACATGCTAACCAGTGAAGATCATTTCCCTGTAAAACAAAATAGAATTTTGGCTAATAAGCTACATATACTTCAATATAGAAAATTTTTATGTTTAAATTAAAAGTGTTGTTTATATGTGTATGGAAACTGTATTTTCCAGTCATGGCCCTATCTCACACACTTTTTGTTTTCTTTTTTTGTTTATTTGCTTGTTTCTGTTTTTTGTTTTTTCAGACAGGGTCTCACTATGTAGTCCAGGCTGGTCCTAAACTCACTATGCAGCCCAAGCTGGCCTCAAACTTGCAATCCCTCTGCCTCAGCCTCCCAAGTGCTGGCATTACAGGCATGGGACACCATGCCCAGCTCATGTGCTTTTCTTACAATGTGACACAAACATTTTCCCATGAGTGGTGGGAGGGTCTGTGTTCCTTCACCTTGAAGCTGGACAGGGGTCTATGTTCCCTTACATTGATTAACTGTCTCAAATAATATTATTGGTAGAAATGGTGTTAGGTGATTTCAAAGATCATAAAAAGGAATATTCCACACGGAAATATAAAAGGGAATATTCCAGATTCCACATGGACCTTGGGAGTCCTAGTCTGACATGTAAGAAGTCTTGCACCATGTTGGAGAGAAACCATTGGGAAAGGTGAGTCACACAGAGATGTCCAAGGAGGACCAGTGATGCCAATCCCTAGCTGCCCAAGTCTTCCTAGTGAATAAGAAACATCAGCTTCTCAATCAGCCCTGTCTCAATGCTCCACCCACAGAACCTGTGAGCAAAAGTACATTGTTTTATGCCTCTGACTCCTAGGATAATTTGTTACATAGTGATTTTTAACTGAAACAATATTATTAATTTTTTTTTTGGTTCAACCTAGAGCACTGAAACAATTGTAAAATTAAGCTTGAATGTATATGCAATCATTAACTTTAAACCTAATCAAAACACATACATAAATATGTAAAACTTGTAACCATATGAACTATTGTGGATGCATTACCACATACAATACCATTTAAAGGATTTTGGTTTGTTTATGTGTGACAGGATCTTGCTATGTAGTCCAAGGCCAGCCTTGAATTATCTATACAGCACAAGCTGGCCTCAAATTCTGAATCCTCTTGCCTCAGCCTTTTGAGTACTAGAATTACAGGCATGTGCCACCACACCCTGCTCAAAGGAAATAATTTTTAAGACATTACTTCTAAAACATCATCTGTATAATACTTTTCAAGTGACTAATTTTTCTTTCCATATAAGGGCTGAACTGGAAGATGTCCTTTAGTTTCACTGTATCCAGTGCCAGTCTAAGTAAAAATAAAAGAAACTACCTCTTCCATTTTTATCTTTATAAATAGTCTATCTTAAAACTCAATCATACTTATTATAGCATAGATTTTTTTCTTTCTCCCCCACTCCTCCCACCAACACCAATATTGGGGATTGAACCCAGGAAGCACTGAGCTATACCCTCAGTCCTTTTATAAATTTTTTAAATTAATTGTGTTTTGAGACAAGAGCTTGCTAAATTGCCCAAGCTGGCCTTGAACTTATGATCCTCCTCCCTCAGTCAGCCTTCTGAGTAGCTGGGATTACAGGCATGCACCACCATGCCCAGCTTAGCACAGATTTTCCTATTTAAAAAAAAATAATAGAGGTGTATATTAAACACATGCCTGTAATATGGTGTGTGTGTGTGTGTGTGTGTGTGTGTGTGTGTGGTGAGGACTCAACTGAAGACTTCATGTATGGTAGGCAAGTGCTCTATATAGCTCTAACCCCCAAGATTCATAATATTCTTGATTTAAAAAATCTCAAGTAAATTTAACTTTATAACTACTGAGTTTCTCTACTATATCAAAAAATATTTGTTGAAATAACCCTTAATACTAAAAACAGTCATCCTCAAAATTAACAACTCATGATCATACACCTATAAGGGCTAGATCTATTTTCAAATTTTCACTGCATCATATGTTAGCTATAACATTATGGGCAAATTAGTCTCAGAAACTCCATTTTCTTAGCTAAGGGCCATGAAAATTAAATAAGATTCAACCAAAAAGCAAAAGAAAATTAAAAGATAAAATTCTATAACCGCTACTCTGCATTAAATATGATCTCAGCTTTATTTTCCATTGTACACACCACAAGACTGCCATCCCAACATTTTTCTATGGTACACCTGATTATAAGCTCCATCAAGGCAGGGAGTTTTAGGTTTTGTTCATTGCTTTATCCCCAGCACCAAGAATATACTGTGGCAAATAATAATTAGTCAAGAAATATTTTATATTTAATCTGGGTGTGGTATAGTACACCTGCAATCCCAGCACTCAGGAGGCCAAGGCAGGAAGATCACCACAAGTTGAAGGCCAGTCTGGACTACATAGTAAAACCTTGTTAAAAAAAAAAAAAAAATTGATAAATGTGGTAGGCATATCCCTGTAATTCCAGCTACTCAGCAGGCTGAGGCAGTAGGACTGCAAATTCAGGCCAGCCTGAGCAACTGAGACCCTGTCTCAAAACAAAAAATAAAAAGTGTTGAAGATGTAGCTCAGTATTCCCTGGATTTAATTCCCAGTATGGCAACATAAATAAGTAATTGTTAAGTGAACAAATATTCATGCATTTATTGGGTAAACTGGGCTAAGAAGCAGGGATTAAAATCCTACTAATAGGGGCCAGAGGTTTAGCTGAGTGGCCTGCCTCGAAAGCGAAAGGTCCTGAGTTCAATGCCTGATACCAAGAAAAAAAACCCTACTAATAAAAAATCAAGTAATCAAATGTACCTTCAAAAGTAATTTACTAGCCATCTACTGTGTGTCACTTGCTTATGTAACACTAGACTTCACATGACTTAACCTGAGTTGAAATAGTTCAACTGTATGGTGATAATGCTTGTTCTATTTTATATGTGTCTTCTGAAGGTAAAATAAGCACCTAAGAGCTTGTTTGGAAGCACTTATACTCTTCAAAACCAAAGAGAGTCCTTCTTTTTATCTGACATGTAGGGAAACACAGAGATAAAGAGGAGCTTGGCCTCTTCAGCCAGAACCCTCAGTAACTGAGCTTAGCTAAGTGTGAGGCACTATTTGAGTGCTTTACGTGCTAACAACTACACATTATCTTAGTTCACCTTCAGGGCAGTTCTGTGAGGTAAGTACAAATAACAGCCCCAGTTTACACATAACAAAAGTGAGTTTTCCAGTGGTTAAGTAATAAGTCCAAAGTTACCAAGATGTTAGGTTCTAAAGCCATCATATTACTATTTTTTGGTAGATATAACAATGGAGAGATGGAACTTGTAACTGAATTAAAATTTCTTTTGATGCAAGGATTTTTAAAAACCCTAGTCAACCTAAAGACATGAGAAAAAAACACCATATTATAGTTAATACCTTGGTTAACCCTTCACATCCTGAGCCTATTTGTCCTACTCTTTTCACAAACTATATATAAAACTATTGAGAAAATCAAATGGCCTAATGTTTAAAAGCCACACACACAGGCGGTCAAACAGCTAATAAACAATCTGGACTTCCGTGTCACTTCCCATTGGCCCATGAAGGGGAGGTGCCTGCAGAGTTGACAGTCACTGGTAGAATGGTTATTTTTCTCATCTGCAAGCCTCATCCGAAAAAGGGGATTTAACACGCCTGTATCGCGGCGACAACCAATAAGGTAGTTTTAGTCCTGATTCCACAAGGGCAATGCAAATTCTTAGTAACAAGTGGGAGCTTGTGTCTGTATCAAGGCAAGCAGAAGGTCCATTTAGCCCGGGGAACATTAAATTGTTTACTTATACATAAACACAGCGCGAATATTAACGCGTTTACTCAAATGGATGCAATGCCTGGGCAAAGTCAAGTTGGAGGAAGCAAAGTTGAAAACAACTGAAGGAGACGGCTAGAGACCCGAGCACTCAAATCCGGTCAATCGCTGCGCTGCTATGGCCCAGTCTCCGTGCGAGCTAGACAGCTATACCCGTTCATTCTATTAGTAGGGTGGGTGGGAGATCAAACGGGTCTCACGGATCCATTTTTGTAACTGTGACCCCAACACGATCTCAGCCTCGCTGTGCTACGTTAGGGCAAAAGGCGTACACCATGCTGAGCCCGAGGGGGAAAAGCAGCGAGCCCGCGTTCACCCTCACAGGTGCTGCGAGCCTGTCAAAGCCGAGTTTCCAAGGCAGCGGTGCACTCAGGGGACCCCATGCCTCCCCAGGCTGGGAGCCCCGGACCCGGCTTCCGCGGGGCGCAGGGCACCCCGCTGCGCCGCGAAGCTCGCCAACCAGGCCCCAAAAACCCCTACTCTCCATCCCCGTGCGCACCTCCAGCGTGTAGCTCTCGCTCATGCTCCGGTAGCTGTCCCAGGCCTCGGCCCGCGCCGCCTCGTCCATGTTAAGTCGGCTGCACAGTTCGTCAAACCGCTGCCGGATCTGAGGGGTCGGCGACCCGGCCGGCTGCGCGGCGTCCTCGGCTTCGCCGTCGTCATCCTCCTCCTCCTCCGAGGCTCCAGCCGCCGGAGGAGGAGGAGGAGGCGGGGGAGGCGGCGACTGGTCGCCTCCAGACGGCATAGCACTCCCTGGGCGGCTGGTCCTCAACTGAGCTGAGGGACCGGGCCCTCAGCCATTCAAACCGCGAAGCGCCCGCCCGCCAGCCGCCTGCACCGCGACTGCGCCGCCGCCTCTGGCGCTTGATCTCATGTAGGCACCCGTAGCTCTGGGCCCGGCATGCTGGGAAACGTAGTCTAGGCCGGGAGCCCATGGGGCCCAAAAATCATGAAAGGAAAACAATCCGCTCACGTTCCCTCATTTATGAAAAAGTAAAAATTCCTCCGCATTTTAAGATCTCCCCATGGTGAGACCATTCCGAAGGCAGTTCTGAAGAGAAAAGTCCTAGAAACACAACATGTGAAGGTTTAGTAGCCAAGCAGTTCCCTGAAATATTACAGTCCCATCTCTTGTATGTCCTTATCCAGAAAAATATAATAGCAAGGGCTTAACCTGCTTAAATTCAAATCTCGGCCCCGCTCCTAATTTCTAGTTCTTTCCAATGTTTTAATGTTATGTGAGCCTTCCGAGTAATCATTGGATTTTTAAAAATGCAATAGTTCTTCCCCGCCTCCCCCATGGGGCAATTTTACATTAACTGCCATATATTTGTACTATTCTCAAACACCCGATTGGTTTAACTTTATTCCTTTTTAAATTTTTATTATTTTACTTTATACTTTCATGTTTCTAGTATACTTCAATCACTTTATTCCCAATCTTTTTTTTTTTAACTTTAAAATATTTTTAAATAGCCAATCCTCTTTAATGTATGCATAGTTGTAGTATAAAACATTTTCATGCTGGAGGAACTGCACAACATTGCTGTTTGACTATTTTTGTTTTGTTCAGTGGGGTATGTAAACTGAGAGAACTGAGTTCAGGGACAGCAGCAGAGTTTATGAAAGATGTAACAGCAGTGGGGAGAGAGAGCAGGTAGGAGAGGAGGCAGAGACTAGCAACACATTATCTCAGGAGCAATTTTGAGACAATGAAATCTTCGATACAATTCATAGAAATTAGCAATGTTCCTGGAGTTAGATTTGCATAGGCATAAAATGCATCAGATCTTTCCCCTGGTGGTGCACATTTCTGCCCCACCCCCCATTAACCCTTTGAATCCAGCAGTCTATGACAATAGGACAGAGGCCCGGGTCACAGGAAGAAGCCTATTGTCAAAGATGAACAAACCTCAATATTGGAGCATAAAACTGCTTTTATTCAGTAGTTATTGACAGTAAGGGAAAGAGTAAGTTCCATTCCTACTTATGCAGAGATGACTGGGTATTTTAAAAGGAGACTGAAGGAGAGGTGAGGAGAGAGCCAGTTCAAGTGAAACATTACAAAAGGCTGATCCATTTTAATATCATTCGGTCAGTTGGGTCTTCTGCTAGCTGGAAATTATGAATATCAGTATTGTATCATTCTGTAAAAACCAGAGGACAGGGCCGGGGATTTAGCTCAATGGTTCTGCACCTGCCTCGAAAGCGCAAAGACCCGAGTTTGATCCCAGGTACAAAAAAAAAAACAAAACAAAGGACTGAGCCCCTATCCTTCCTAATGATTACATTTCAAGGCAAAGGTTTCCAGATCCTTAAGAGAGATTCTCCTGCTTTTTTTTTTTTTTTTGGTACCGGGGATCAAGCTCGGGTCCTTCTGCTTGCAAGGCAGGCGATGGAACCACTGAGCTAAATCCCCGGCATCTCCTGCTTTTTAAGAGGTACATATACATGTCAAGGGGACTGAGGAAGAATTCAAAATTGTAAGTCCCTGGCCGGGGATTTAGCTCAGTGGTTCTGCTGCCTGCTGTGCAAGCCCAAGGACCCGGGTTCGATCCCCAGTACCAAAAAAACAAAACAAAACAAAATTGTAAGTCCCTTGTACTAACTGTTCTAAGAAAGGGAATTCTGGAGTTAAATTTGAATATTGCAGTAGTAGTGTGGTGCTCTCTTAGGAAAACTTTTTAATGGGTGTTGGGGCCTGGGGTCCTTCTAGAGATTGAACCTTAAACTGCTAGAAGCAGACAGAGTTTGGTGGTCTCTTAGTGCAGATGTGTGGAAGGAGTCTGCAGTTCTCACCATGTAGATAGGACCCAAGGTCCCAGTTATGATGAATAGGCCAGTTTAGAAGCAGACCCTCTGCCTTCAGTCAGTCGGACCCACTGATGCTGTGTGCAGTGGAGTTGAATTTTCCCACTGAGCCCTCCCTGCCCAAATTGCAAGCAATTGAAATTTGTGGAGAAAAGAAAAAGTGATTGTAATTGTTTTAAATCACCAAGTTGTAGGGTGACACATCCCCTACCTCATTCACAACGTCAGACTCCTCATGATCCACAACCTTCCAAAGACCTGCCCCTAAACACTGCATCAGGTACCAAGACTTTAACACAAAACTTTTTGTTTTTAACCTTAAGAGGTTAAACAATACTTGACATTAACATTCCTCAAACAAAGTTTCGGCATCCAGGTTGCTCACATACTGCTCTCACAGGAGCACACTCCCTGGCCTTCTAGGCCCTCTTCTGAAATTTGGGGGGAAGCCTTCCTGATTTTACAGGGAAAGCTTTCTGTTTTTCCCCATTTAATATGATGTTGGCAGTAGGTTTGTCATAAATCCATATTTTCTTCAATGCTTTTTATCATGAAAGGATGTTGGATTTTGTCAAAGGTTTTTCTGTGTTTATTGAGATAATCATGTGCTTGTTGTCCTTGCTTCTGTTTATGTGATGTGTTACGTTTATTGACTTGCACATGTTGAACCATCCCATCCCTGGGACGAAAGCTACTTAGTCATGATATATGATCCTTTTGATGATTCTTTGCATTCTGTTTGCCAGCATTTTGTTGAGGATTTTCCCATCTATATTTATTAAAGAGATTGGTCTATAGTTCTCTTTTTTGGTTGAATCCTTTTTAATGTATTTCTCATTAATTGGTTACTGATGACAGCCCTGTCTTCTGCTTCTACTTTGTCCTCACATTGGTCACTTCTGCTGTCCATATGTTCAATAGAATTAATCTCCTTAATTTCTATTTGGAGCCTTTTCATGGACTGTAATTCTTTTCTATGGTGGTTATTCATGTTTTCCTTTCTCTGGTTTAGCTCTTTTAGCTGTTTATTCATAAACAGGGTGTGGAACTTGATAATGATAAAAGTTATTCATAAATTCTGTAGATTTGCCAATCATTTGTTTATTTAGCCCTATATCTTCTGTGAGCTTTCCTAATGCCTTATTCATTTGTTTAATTATCTCCCTTGATATAATTTCAAATAATTCTGGTACATAGCTTTTGGTTTCCTCCCTTTTGATGCCCCATGGACCAGCTTTGGAGGAGTTGGGAGCTTTTGGAGGCATTTTATTGGCTTGTCTTCTCATGTTTCTATTTTGTTGTTGTTTGTTTGTTTGTTTGTGGTTTTTTTTGGTACCAGGGATCGAACTTGGGTCCTTGTGCTTGCCGCAGCAGGTGGCGAAACCACTGAGCTAAATCCCCCGCCCCGTTTGTTTGTTTTTATTGTTTGTTGAAACTATCAGGTTGATTGTAGTGGAAAGCTTTGTTTCTAGTATGGAGTCCTCTTTGGTTAATGTTTCCTTTTCAGTGGTGTCCTCTGGGCTTGGCTAAATATTGGCTTTTGCCTTTGTCCCAGGATCCAACCACCTCTGTTTACTGAGATGGGATTTTTGCTCAGTACCCAGTTTTCCAGCAATGGGCTACCGTATTGTTAGTGACCCCAAGGCAAACCCTATATTGACATCCCAAGAAAACCCATTAATAGCAGTAGCTATGTCACCTTGGCTGTACTAATAGAATCAGTATCAATTACAGGCAGCATCAAATACAAACTGAATATTGATAGATCATAAGAAGCAACAAAGCACCAAACTTAACCATAGAAAAGAGATCTGTAATCATAGTATGAACACTAAGACAAGCTGAATATTGACCTACTATTGACCTGCATTAAATATCTACTAAATGGAACAATTTTACTAACAATAAAACAGTATTTAGGAGGGGAAGGGGAAAGGAAAGAAGGGAAAGGAAAAATTATGAGAAAAGAAAAAAATGGAAACGAAATCTATGTAAATAAGGAAGGGTGGACGGGGTGAAGGGCACACTGGTAATGGGGAAAACAGTAAGAACCAAGATACATCATGTACAGGTACAAGCACCCAATGATAAATGTAAACATATTGTACATCTAAAATGTACCAATAAAAGAATTTAAGGAAAAAAACCCCCAAAAAACAAAAAACAGTATTCAATAGCAATAGTGTAATGCTAACGACTTATCTAGAGATTCATAAAGCTTAGCAGCTATACTAGTAGAGTAAAGGGGTGTGGAACTTGATAATGATAAAAGCAAAATTTGAAATATTAATCAATGAGATGTGAGAAAGAGAAGATAAAAGCAAGATGAGAGTCCTATTGAGGACTGCATGAAAATTAATAGTGTTAGAGAACAGTCACAGAAAAGAATGAACAAAAAGAGAGGAAGATGATAAACAGAGAGCAAAAACAGGAAATGAATGATAAGGAAGAGAAAAAATTGAAAGAGAGAAAAGAAAGTAGAAAAGGAGAAAATGAGAAGAAAACCCCCAAACATCTAGAAAACTCAATGAAGGAAAGATAAAAATAATAACAAATAGGGCCGGGGATTTAGCTCAGTGGTTTCGCCACCTGCTGCACAAGCACAAGGACCCGAGTTCGATCCCTGGTACCAAAAACAACAACAACAAAAAATGATAATAACAAATAGAGAAATCAAGAAAGGATTGAGTCAAAGAAAAACATTCCTGTGTTATTGATTGAATGGATTCTTTCTTGGGATCTAGCCAGTCACAATTTTCTATGCCTAGTTTTAAGGACTTTCGGCTTTTGACATGCTCTCTCTGCTCCAGGGGCCCCTCTACCTATTCACCCAAGTCTGTGGTTACTGTCCAAGCCAAGAAGTGACCTTGGTCCCACTGGCAGGTGGGGAATGAGATCAGTCCTCCTAATGTGTACCACAGAGCATGGATCCAAGTGGATGTTCGACTTAGTGTCCTCAGTTGGGGGCTCTGCTTGCTCCCGTCTCTCCTCAGGCATTGTCTTCATCCAGAATCAGGTTGTTGGTCCTC